TGATCACAATTCAGTTGGAATGGACCGAACAATATCGAATGGCACCGGGTATACCGGCCAGTATCCGGAGGAGGTTGCTCGCTTATACGAGTCACTAGAAACCACGCCAGATGATCTCGTCTTGTGGTTTCACCATGTACCATGGACACATCGTTTGCACTCCGGGTTGACAGTTATTCAGCATTTTTACAACGCTCACTATGCTGGCTCGGAAGCTGCACACGGCTTCATAAAACAATGGGAGTCTTTGAAAGGGCTAATTGATCGGGAGCGATACGAGGCAATGCGATCACGCCTGGTTTACCAGGCGGGACACTCCATTGTCTGGCGCGATGCTATCAACAACTTCTACTACAACATGACCGGAATTCCAGATGTGGTCGGCCGTGTCGGTCATCATCCGTGGCGCATTGAAGCTGAGAGTATGAGATTGGAAGGATACCAGACTTACACCGTCAGTCCGTTCGAGGCCGCTTCTAACACTACGGCAATTATCACCACTTCTAATTCAACGACTGGGACGGCGAGAACTACCATCAAAGCACCATCGGGAGTGTACGACATAGGGGTGAACTACTACGATCTCTATGGCGGTCAATCCAAGTGGACATTATCTGTGGGTGACAAGTTAGTGGGTCAATGGCTTGGGGATATGGAGCATCAATCCCTAGGCCATACACCTTCGATATACTTGGACGGTCATTCGGCCACCCGGATAACGTTTCATGGGGTCGTCGTCCGGCAGGGTGATCAGCTGAAAATTGTTGGTGAGGCGAATGGGGTCGAGCCTGCTCCAGTGGATTACGTAGTGCTGCTACCGCCAGGGGTGGTTGACTGATACTTACAAGGTCCTATGCGTTATGTAACTGCCGAATGTATATGCAGATGAAACTTTTAGTGGCGTTCTATATCATTGGCGATCCAGACAAGATTTATACACTTGGTTCTCCCGCTGCAAGCTATCAGACGTGGCCAAAACAAAAATAGAAAAGACCATCTGAATTAATTATGTCAAAGATCGCCTTAGATGCGATATTGGCCTCTATTTCAATCTGCATCACGGTAGATATGGTCAGAATACACCATTTACCGCCTTTATCCCTGGCACACCCCAGGTCAAGTACTATCCGCGCCCCACGATCCCAGTACTCGGTCATCTATTCTACCGACGTGATCATGAGGTTTCCCCGCATTAAGCATTAGCCCAGTTGGATGTCAACATACCGGTTAAACTGACGTCTGATCGCAGGTCCTCCGCATTCCCCACCCTGGGGATTGCTGATCAACAATGTGGCCAGATGCCGACCTCATAGCCGACCGCCCTCTTTACTTTCATCAGAGGTGTCAAAGACAGCCAGGTATAAAGATGTGGGAAGGTGGATTGGCTTTGAGGGTAACGTGAAGCTGTACCGAGCCACTAGGCTGCATCTTAAACTACGATGAAGGCCTCCTTTCTGCTTTCTGTTGGTCTGGCTGCGAAGGCTTGCTTGGGCCTTGTTACCGCCCCAAAATATGTTAGTCAGGAGAATACCACAGCTCCTTCTCTTCAAGACATTGTGACGTGGGATGAGTACTCCATTCGGGTTCACGGAGAGCGCGTTTTTCTCTTATCGGGAGAGTTCCACCCCTTCCGTCTCCCATCTCCAGGACTCTGGCTTGATGTCTTCCAGAAAGTCCGCGCGCTTGGGTTCTCAGCTGTGTCCTTCTACGTCGATTGGGCCCTCCTTGAAGGTGACCGAGGGTCTATCCGGGCGGATGGAGTTTTCGCGCTCGAAGAATTCTTTCAGGCGGCTACAGAAGCCGGTTTGTATCTAACTGCTCGTCCTGGCCCTTATATCAACGCCGAAGTTTCTGGGGGTGGATTTCCTGGCTGGTTGGAACGGGTGCAAGACCGTCTCAAAACTACAGAGCAAGGCTACTTGGATGCCATCACTCCCTATATGCAGGCGATAGGACGCATAATCGCGAAGGCGCAGATCACAAATGGTGGCCCGGTGATCCTATTTCAACCCGAAAACGAGTATACGGCTTGCGTGCAGGACGTAGGCTACACGCAAATCAACAACTACTCTATGCCCGACTATAACAGTTCCTGTCTTCAGAAGGAATACATGGCTTACGTGGAAGATCAGTATCGAAAGGCTGGAGTAGTCGTGCCGTTCATCGTCAATGATGCTGAACCTATGGGCAACTTCGCTCCTGGCACGGGAGTCGGCGCTGTGGATATTTACAGCTTTGATGATTATCCCATGCATTGGAGCACAGCACGTATGTATTGATTTATACTGATCGAGCCTCTGTTAACTATCTACTTCTAGCATCTGATCCGTCAAACTGGTCATCTGTGATAAACCCACTGCTCTCCTACAATGAAACTGTCCATGAGGAGCAGAGCCCGACCACGCCGTTTTCCATCTCAGAATTCCAAGGCGGAGTGCCTGACGGTTGGTATGATAACTCTGGGGTATATATATCATGCGAAGCATCCTAAGCTTATAATGTATTCTAGGGGTGGTGTTGGTGTCGATACCTCAGCCGCATACATCGGTCCTGAATTCGCACGTGTCTTCTACAAGATAAATTACAGCTTTCGCACTGCTATCCAAAATCTCTACATGGTGAGTTGGCTACTATATACGCATATAGTCCTTCTTATCTCTTTTCTAATAGAACACTTGTGCTTCCAGATCTTTGGAGGAACAAATTGGGGCAACTTGGGCCATCCTGGTGGTTACACCTCGTACGACGTGGGTGCTGCTATCGCCGAAGATCGCGAAGTCATCCGCGAGAAATACAGTGAATTGAAGCTACAATCCAACTTCCTACAGGCATCTCCTGCATATCTCGAGTCACACCCCGAAAACGGAAGCTATGGAATCTACACGGACACCACATCCCTCGCAGTAACCCGGTTAGCCGGGAATCCCACCAACTTCTACGTGATACGCCATGGAGAGTTAACATCGCAAGAGTCGACTCCATATAAGCTGCGCGTGAACACTACCGCAGGTAGCTTGACAATTCCTCAGCTGGGTGGAACACTAAGTTTGAATGGCCGAGACTCAAAGATTCATTTAGTCGACTACGACGTCGGCGACGTAAGTCTGATTTATTCCTCGGCGGAGCTATTTACCTGGAAGCAGACAGGCTCCAAGTCAGTGGTTGTTCTCTATGGAGGTGAAGATGAGCTTCATGAATTTGCCGTCCCTGCAAATATAGGAAAACCAACTTCCATTGAAGGCGACGATTTGCAGATTCAGCAGATCAACTCGACCACCGTGATACAATGGGCAGTCCAACCCTCACGCCGAGTTGTGCATTTCGGCAACACCCTCGAGGTGCATCTCCTCTGGCGCAACGAGGCATACAACTACTGGGTCCTCGACCTACCCGTCCCAGGGGCCATAGGCCGACACGTCTCTCAGTCTCACGCCAACCGATCTGTCATCGTCAAGGCCGGGTATCTTCTACGAACTGCCGAACTCACTGGCACGTCCCTCTATTTGAGAGGCGATATCAACACCACCACTACCCTCGAGCTCATTTCCGCCCCTCAGCCAGTGACCAGCATTTTCTTCAACAACCAAAGCGTCCAAACCAGTGTCACATCTGGCCGTCTCACCAGCACCCTCACCTATCAAAAGCCCAACATCAACCTACCAGACCTTACGACCCTCAACTGGCACTACCTTAACACCCTCCCAGAGGTCCGCGATCCCACATACAACGACGACCTCTGGACTCCCTGCACGCACACCACAACTGCAAACCCACGCAACCTTACAACTCCAACATCCCTCTACGCCAGCGACTACGGCTACAACGGCGGCTCTCTCCTGTACAGGGGCACCTTTACGGCCACCGGGAATGAGTCCTCCCTCTACCTCCTCACCGAAGGAGGCTATGCCTACGGCCACTCCATCTGGCTCAACAACACATTCCTCATCTCCTGGCTAGGAGAGCCGTTGTATATGTTCTCCAACCAAACAATCACCTTCCCATCCTCTCTCACTCCCGGAACCACCTACACGTTAACGATCCTAATCGACCATCTCGGCAACGACGAAAACTTCCCCGCGAACGGCGATTTCATGAAAGATCCACGTGGAATCCTAGATTACACCCTCCACGGCCGCGACGACAAATCAGCCATATCGTGGAAATCAACGGGCAATTTTGGTGGAGAGCGTTATGCTGACTTGACTCGAGGTCCACTCAATGAGGGGGCGTTCTTCGCCGAGCGAAAGGGGTATCATCTCCCCGGTACCCCGGTGGAGAAGTGGACGAAGAGGTCTCCGTTTGAGGGACTTCCGGAGGATGAGGCACCCGGAGTGGGGTTCTTTGCGACAACGTTTGATCTGAATATTCCTGATGGGTATGATGTGCCTATTAGTGTTGTCTTTGAGAATAGCACTACGGTCGGTGATGGATCGGAGCCTGCGAGGTTTCGGTCGGAGCTGTTTGTGAATGGGTGGCAGTTTGGGAAGTATGGTATGTTGATTTTCCTCCTCTTGCTCTTCTCTTCTTGCTGTGATTTATATTTGGGTGGGCTAATGGACTATGTTGTTGGTAGTCAATCACATCGGCCCGCAGCTTAGCTTTCCCGTCCCAGAGGGTATTTTAGACTATAACGGGAGCAATTTTCTGGCTCTTACCATCTGGGCTATGGATGAGAAGTCATTCAAGTTGGATGGGTTGCGGTTGCAGGCTAATGCAGTGGTGCAGAGTGGGTATCGCAAGCCTAGTCTTGTGGAGGGAGAGGTGTATAAGGAGCGGGTTGGTAGCTATTGATTCTGTGGGCTCTTTAGATGCTTGTCATCAGGAGAGAGAAACAGCCACTGCATTGAGCTCTCGCTTGTAAAGATGGAGAGTTCTACTGAGTTACTGGAAGTCATGTGAAGCAGATACTGACTAAATACATAAGCGCCCGACCAAACCTCTTTCTATAACCGGTTCTCGTTCGTTCTCATCTTTCTATTGAAGTGAAGTTCACCCTGTTGCTAATCTGTAGACACGCTCGTTCGCAGATCCTTCTCGTTAGAAAGTGTTTCTGCGTTCTTCAGGGGCTTAGGAGCCGCGCCAAAGACACGTCGCAACGTGCAAGGCGCATACCGATCAGCGACAGTCACGTTCATGAGCGTCTCTGAGCCATTACCACTGATCATAGTGTTGGTTGCCACCATGCTATGTCTTCGGCCTAAGGCAAGGGTATAGGATCCATGGTTCCCGTATTCATACGCTGAAGCTGAGGCGCAGCCGCGAATGACCTGATCGACTACATGGGAGAGGGCCATTTCGGGCCTCATGGTCTGCATGTAGATCCAACCATGTACATTGAAGGTCGCTGTGCTCTCTGGCCTTCTTTGTGGTGAAAGGTGGAACACAACTCCGATGGCTCTTTCGGAGGAGTCTTGTAACCTAACAGCAGCCCATGTTTCCAAGGAAGTCGAGTCGTTGGAGGTAAGTCGTAGTCGGTGATTTTCAGCATCCCAGATACGCGATGGATAGTATTCCGTTATGCGCTGACTCGCTGTTCTGAAATCCTCTCGATTGATGTGGATTTGACATGTCAGTTGTGGCCCTCGGTCAGGAACATTGGACTGTGATCGGATATAGAGCTCTCGAGTCATGGCTTTTGTTTCTAGACCCAAGTCAACTCTCACTACCCGCCCCCGCGAGATATCATAATGGATATCAAATGTGTTGTCTGGTCGAGGAGTAAGAGGAAGGGCCAAGGCGCCTGTGACATCATCCTCATAGTGGCAGTCCAAGAGCGCGAGGCAGCTATCCTTAGGCCCGTTTTGATATGTGACGGGAAGCGGGATGCGGAGGCCTCGGTTGGTCATGGTGTATGGCCCACTGTTACGCGGACGGGACCATTGGACGACGTTCTTGAGAAAGCAGGATGAGGACGGAGCAAGGACGGTGTACTGTCTCTCTTGCTCAATATCGCAATAGTTCCATGCGAAAATGGTGTGATCATCGGAACTCTTGATGATTTGCTCTTGTAGTCTAATAAATGCAGCCTTGCCTTCGCCATAGAGGATAGGCATATGAACATCAAACAGACCCAGGAGACAATATGCCTCATCCTCTATCTTAGAAGTCCGCCTCTTAGCTGCCCATGACATCTTCTGTGCGACACATACTGATCTCAGTGACTCTTTTGTGTTTGTCAAGTCTCTAAGAACGCGCTGGTCTATGCCAGTGATGGTAGAGAGGAGGGCTGTCATTGATGCTTTTGTACCAAGGAAGTTCCAGCCAGACCCATAAAAGGTCAAATCCGTGGGTGCAATCAACTCCTGCAATGTCCATCCTCGGGTGAGCCAGCGGCATCTTGCAAAGGGGCCATTGATCATCGCATCGTATTTACTAGGCCTGCGTCTTCTGGCGGGTTCGGCAAAGCTTCCAACTTGCTCAATGAGTGGAATCTCACCGTAGTCGCTGGGGATGTCAGACAAGTAAACATAGCACTTGCTTGATCGCATGTACCATTGGAACATGGAGTTTATAGCTTCGGAGATTTCCGCACTACTGCTTTTGTTGATACAGCATGTATCAACCCAAGCGTAATCTAGACCATCCCTGATCGCTTGCTGGCAGGTATACTTGATTTTGAAAAATCCTTCCTTGCCTACCACACGATCCCAGTACCTGGAGCCTGTTGACAGTGCCTGAAGATCTTGAAAGAAGATTTCATTCTTTCCCCACGTATGTGACAGAATTGCATATTCGGGGATATCACTGTCGAGGTATTCTTCCAATTGGTATGTTCTTGCGTTGATCAGTCTCATCTTTGCGCTCAAAGTTAGACCAAGGGAAATACATACGAACCTGAGAATACATAGTCTGTTCTTCGCTATTTAGGTGGTGTGGTGATGTGTCTTGAACCTACCAGTTGGCTGCTACGTGGCAGGCAACACATTCGGGTAGAATTGTCCTGCGGAGTAAATCGAGGTCCAATTGTACTGTACGTTTGCCTATGTCCCCACACTTCTCCAAGTTTCAGATGTTGTATCCTTATCTCATGATATGGCACAATACAACTTGCGCTAGGGCTGTGTCATTGAGTGGACAATAAAGGACCATATTGTTGCTGGGAAGGTGCCCTTATCGTTTCTGCGTTGTCCATGGATGCCCTGAATTCGGAGAAGCCTCATCAGTGCTGAGGGATACTTCATACGTGTAGGGTTTTCCTGGACCTGAGGTTTAGCTTTCCCTGGCAATTGAGGACAGGAATACTTTGTATTGTTGACAGTCAGCAGATCTCAGACATAGTGGCTGTAGCAAGTAGACCATCTCACAACTTATCACAGCCATAGTAATAGCGAGTTTCGGAGCAGGGATGGGGACTAACTTTGTGAAAGCATTCAAAGACAGCTCACCGGTGCATATGCTCTGTCTGTTAGATACAGGTACCGAGAGTCCACTCACTATAGCTATTCTCGATGAACTGGTCAGTTGATAATATCTGAGTTGGTGATGATGAGAAGACGGGACTGGGTCAGCTGACTGACGCGTGGTAGTAGTTTCCACTGGACCACGTGTTTCCCTTTCTCCAACAAGACCTATGAGTTCAGCATCCTATTTATCTACTTCATCTCCCAGCTCATCTCTGCGCTGGCACTGGCTTCTAAATCTATTGAGTAAGTCACGGTTACATTGCCAAATAAGAGGCGACAGATCGTCGAATTGAAGCTAATGTCATGAGCCCGAGAAACTAGGGTATTCTCATCCTACTAGTTTATCAGCTCTCGGTTATATCTGACTTGGCCGGACTGATTTCATGTCTTCAGCAGGCTATTTCAGCTCCGCCTCGATGATGCTCTGTCCGTCACCAGGAGGTGCCCAAAATTTCACAATCGTGAAGCCAGCCGAGTTCAGCAATTTCATCCATTGACTAGCCGTTCGCTCCATGCTGTTACAGAAAATTAACATCTCCCAGTCCCACATGGCTGGCAGCATCGCACATTCCTTGTCTGGCAATACGAATTCCTCGATTATCAGTTTGGAATATCCCTTTTTCATTGCTGCTCCAAGATGGCTCAGGATCAGGCGACTTTCCTCGTCTGACCAGTCGTGAAGGATGAATTTCATGTAACAGGTGCGCGCACCTGCGGAGGTATACAGTCAGACTAGGGATAAGAAGCGTTTCAGGTGTTAACCAGCGAGTATACCTTGTATTGGCTGTGCCTGGAACAGGTCAAACGATACATGCTCAATTTTGGGGTGCTGAGTAGCCTCAGCCACGACATGAGGCAGATCTTCCAAGATGAGCCGTCCCTGCACTTCAGAGAATTTGGATTGGAAAGCAACCAAATCATGGCCGGGCCCACCTGCTATGTCCACCAAGAGGATATTACTTTCGCCTTCTTTGAATCCGTCAATAATCCTCTCCTTGACAGGAACCCACTCGAGCAGCTAGGCCGGCTCCCGCGGTCCGCTTCCATGAAAGTATTGCAAACGTCCAAGAAACCTGGTTTGGTCGGCACCCAGTCCCACAGCGACATTTCTGTCTTCTCTGCGTACTGTAATGCACCATTCAGAGCACCCGATGGGTTTCGGAAGTTGGTCATACGCAGAAACTCGGGTACTTTAGCCAAGGTAGGCATACCGAGTTCGAAGCTAACGTTCTGTCAGTTCGGCCTTGCCACCTATGTGACTGACTTACATGAATCTCACCACGGCCCCACTAAGTCTGTTTGTCATCTGCCTGATCATCTTTGTGGGGATGTAGACCCGTACATCATGTTCTGCAACGTATCCAACCCTGCAAGGATACGCAGCACCCTTTCTGTTCCCAGAATATCTTAGCAGCTGACTCATAGACGTGATTGGGATAACAGTACCAGTCAGGACTAGATCTGCCCCTTTCGTGGCTGCCAGATCCTCCAGCGTAACTGGGCCATTCCGCTCACTGAGCGTGGAGAAAATACCAAGGTCCATGGCGATGCGCACACACATCACTTGAGTAGGCTGGTACGGGTCAGTACTTCGTGCTCATCTTTTCTTGGAGGATATTAGTACCGAGTAAGCTAGATTATACACTGCATCTTGCGGCTTCTGAAACACCTCCACCAGCCTCTGCGCCGCCTGGAGGACAGCCAAGCGATCCGCTTCGTTATGACTATCTTGAAAAGCATCTGCAGCCTGCGCGACCTGTCGAATCAGACCGTCGATTGGTTTTTGAGAGACGCCATTGGTGTGACAACTATTGCTAGACATGATGAACATATGCACGGGAAGCAGCACTATATGGAACAGGGGAGAAGGGAAGGCCTGTCCTTTTACAATAGTTGGGAGCCTTATTGTTTTGATTCAGCCAGGTACAGCTTTACGACAGCCTTTTACTCGTTATGGCAGGAGACGCAGGACGGTATGCACCGGGTGGACCTGTCACATCAATCAGAGTTGGGGGTAAGCGCCCAGCTAGGCCAAGATGCAGTACCTTTGGTCATCAAAAGAGGCCCGCAATGCCAGACTAGAACAGTTAGCAGCGCCATCGTGAAAATAGGGTTGGATAGGACCTGTAAAGGGCCGCCACCGGCTGTCAGTTCCGTCACCTAGGTGCCGTCCTCCCACGCGCCACACGCTCTGGCTGCATTATCGCCGCGCCGGTGCCTCGCGGAAGCGCTATGGATATTCCGAGCTTTGACTTGAGCTCTGCTTTCAATCCAACAATTGAAGGAGACATCACGCCGTGACAGAAGTTCTGAATGCTTTCGAAGGTTCCCGGAGGTCATTGCGCATAATGGTGCCCAATAATTGGTCCGCACACATTGGGCTCGTCTATCTGATGCCCGGACAAAAGGTGCCTGCTGTGGGCTGATCTGGCCTTTGTACCTAGCAAAAGCACAGGCCGAAGGGACTCCCCTACAGGTGGGTCTTTTGGCATATGGCAGTCGATCCCCTTCGTATACCCCGACGGCCAAATCACGGCAAATTCCGAGACATGGCCATCCCGCTTGCCATATGTTGATAGTCGATGTATCGCTCGACGGCTGAACAAAGGATCTCTTTGTGCTTATCTAATATTTTCGTAAATAATCAAGTATCGACCATATCGCTCGATTGGGAACACGCCTGCTCGGTACAGCTTTATATTTCAAGGACCTCCAAAGTGTTCCCCCTTGATCGTGCAACAATGATATATTGTTAAGTCCGCCCACCATGCCTCGCGACAAAGGCCCACAGATCACTGCCGTGTCCTGGAGCTTTGGAAGCGTGGCGATCATAGTCGTCGCCATTCGACTGTACACCCGGCTAATACTGACTCGCAAAGCAGGCTGGGACGACTTCTTTATTGTTCTTTCCCTGGTAAGTTAACCCTGCAAGATCCTACCGCAAAAATAGCGGCTAAAACCCAGGCGCCGCATTAATGCAGTTGAGCGCTGTTGTATGTTCAGGGTTAGCGCAAACCGGCGTGCATTATGGGCTGGGGAAACACATGGCCAACATTTCCAATGGGGAATGGAAAATCGAGGCCTTCAAATATACTGTCATCGCACCCAACTTCTCCATGGTCTCCACCACAACAGGCAAGCTATCGGTGGCCGTCTTCCTGCTGCGCTTAATGGGCCAGACAGCGTCCCCGGCAAAACGATGGTTCCTATATATCTTCAGTGTAATATCCATTGCTTGGAATGTGCTGGCCATCATTGCCATCATGGGGTACTGCCGGCCTGCGGAGAAGATCTGCCGGCTAGAGGTTCCCGGCTCCTGCTTGAGCTTAAAGTTACAGCTGATTGCTGGGATATCGCAAGCCTGTGAGTGCCAACACTGCCCGGTAGCTATGCGTCGAGACAATAACATCATACAGCATTCAACGCTTTCGCCGACCTTAGCTTGGCCTTGTTTCCAGTCATCATTTTCTGGTCCGTCCAGCTGCCCTGGAAAATGAAGCTAGGGGTTATAGTTGTCATGGGCGCTGGGATCCTGTAAGTAACTTCAACCCAACGAAATAAACTCAACTGATCCCAGAAGGGCGGCGGCAGCAACCTTGGTCAAAGCTATTCTTCTAAAAAGCCTTCCGGTCCATTCAGACATAACCTGTAAGCACCGATGTTCTGTGCAGGCCCAGACACTCGAAGACGAAGCTTAAAACATTAACTCCAGGGTCATGGGCCGATATTACAACATGGTACTCGTACGCCACTCACTTCTCCATGGTTCATGTTTACTAAACCACAACAAACCAAGCTAACACCATGTTTTCCGAACCACTAGAATTGAGGTAAGCAGGAACCTTCATCTCAGCACAGCCAAGCTATCTATATACTTTTATCATGCGCTAAGTGGCGCCCCTGCAATCCATCAACAGAATCTGTACGTTATCATAATATGCGCCACTCTCCCCACGCTACGGCAATCATACAACTTTGCTCTTCATCGAACACGCTACGCAGGTTCATACTACAAACGCTCCCACTCCGAAGCAGCAGCAGCAGCAGCCAGACAGAAACCGATTCCTCTCGCTCGTCGTCAACCCGATCAGTCACTTTTCGATACATTCGCTGACGAAACCGGTTTGGTGAATGTAGCTTCCAACAAATATAGTTTTGTCTCCCCGGGAAGATGTTCGGACCATACAATCATCACAAAGACGACCGAGATTGAGGTCCACGAGGGAAATAAGTCCAAACGGGATATCGAGAATCCTCATTTCCCGCGTGCGAATCCGTTTAGGAGCGGTCATCAGTGACATAGGACGGAGGGGTGATCCGGCGATGACGGTTTGTATGTTAGCTAGGTCGATCGATCCTTAATGAGATCGAGGTTTCAAATGTACGAAAGCAGTAGTGGTCGAACTATTGCTCCTTCTTAATGTGTTCCGGAATGAAATTCTAACGAGAGACAAGGATATAAAAAGAGGATCTCAAAGCGACCGAAAGTGTCAAGGATAATCACTCATTGATCACCATTCCAACGCCCAACCCAGTCTTATCAACGAAATAGGTTCCACACATTTTGATCTACGTCAAAATCAGCCGACATCGGCCATTTGTCTTCTATTTTCACTCCTTTTAACACCGTGAGCCTACCTTCACAATCATTACCACATACTTTACAGCAGACTACAAAGAGAAACCCTCCTACTTGAGTCTCGCGCTCATGGCTTGTCCCCCTACCGCAACCTGCCCAATCATATCGACATCCCTCGTTACCAAGCCCACCCTCAAGTCGAAGGGAAAACGTGAAAGTGGCAGCGAAAGCGAAAGCGAACGCAACGGCCAGAATGTCGTTACAGCCACCGACGCGAACGTCGAGCCGCAAGAGATGAGAAACGAGAAAGAGCCTCCTCAGGAGTACGCTCATGGTCGATCTCTAGAGTCTGTCCCAGGTGGCGGGGCTTATCCGCCGATGAGTGGCTACTTCATACCGTGCAACTTGCTTGAGGATCAGGATGGGTTGAGGGCAACAGAAACACTTGCGGAACGGCCAGCGATACTTTCTGAGAAAGTAGGGGAAGATGACACTGGGCCCGTATCGTCGGCTGTGGATACTTCGATGGTGAAGGTGAATCAGGTGCCCGGGAATAGACGGAAGATTGGTTGGGCATTGTCGCTTCCTGTTGCGACGGCCGCGCATACTGCTGAACATGGTCTCCTTACGGAAAGGTCTTCTGGGGTTAGTGTGTCTTTCGGGGCTAGGGAGGATTCCGCTTTTGAGGGATCGTTTGAAGATCATGCAGGTGGCAGCCATGCTGTGAGTGATGGTAATCATGAAGATGGAGAACCTTTGGAAGATGATGGCATGGCTGATCATTATGGAGAGTCTGAATGTCCCAGGTTTAGTCAAGTTGACTATTTCACCCAACACAAAAGCTTAGAAATCCGGACAAATGGGCTTCCTAGGAGACCACGGTACTGTGCGGCCACTGTTGGAATTCCGTGTCGGGATACCGTATGGGCCTTTATTGATAGGGTTGAATCCGAGCATGGATTGCCAACGGCAACAGACTTACCCTGGGAGATCCGAACACTCCATAAGACAGACGAGCTGAACACAATATCGGCCTATCTTGCTAGCATGCGACAAAACCTGAAAGACCTTGACGTCAACTTTACTTTTCACTATCGCCCGGTGTCCTTTATTGATAAGGCAGACCGTGACAAGAAAATTGGGGGATACACCTCCTCCGACAAGCACAATGCACACACCGTCGCAGATCTGTATATGCATACAAAGGACGATCAGAGTTGGGGGACGCTCTGTGTTACGAGAGAGCATCATGTCCAAGGACTAGCATGGCATTATTGGGCAGTTGCTGCTATCTCGCCACCCAAGTCGGCGTTCCAGTCAGTAGATGAGAGAGGGGTATATCTTCTCATGTATGATTCAAGGCCGCTCAAGGAACCGACCAAAAAGCGCGATCGGGATTTTTGGAGGAACTATATGCGTCGTGATCAGTACAAACTACTAGTGGAGATAGGGAAGACTTTCAAAGTCCTTGATCTTGCAATCAATCGGCAACAGCTCTCGGTCGAGGGTGAAGACGATCCCCTGCGTCTGACCCTGTGGTGGCTTTGGAATATTGCCCGATACGGCGGGGGCTTCTATGAGAGAGACGGCGAGCTGGAAGACCCACGCTGGAGGTTGACAGATGCTAGATGGCTCCATTTCGATCAGGATTGGTCGAGCAATGTGCGAACAACACTGCGGTGGAAGAATGTTAAAGAATGGTTCTCAGAGCAACGACTGGATGAGCACATAAACCACGAACAGCAAGTCCAAGGACACAGGATAGCTGCATAGGAGCAATAGACTCGTTGATGCGACATAGCAAGAATGCAATTGGACCTTTTCTGTTACTGTGCAAATCTCACATTCAGCATCGGCAACGTGGTGATGTAGGCGGCTCAGTTTAACGAGCCTCGTGACCCACAACGCCGTCAATACAAGAGACAGAGATGGAGGGATTCTACAGTGTCAGGCACTTACGGCCGAAATATTCTGGTTCCGGACCCGGCCGTCTGGTTACGCCAGGTATAATCGCAGAGCCGGGATGAAGCGGAGTCGTTTGAGTCGTCGTCCCTGGGGTACCGGGGGATATACTGGAAAAGGAACAGGATGACCTCAACAGATCAAAGATCGCAGTAACAAACCAATCATGATTCTTCTTATCGGCGGCATTCCGCGATATGGCCAAGTCAATCTGGCCTCCGGTCTTTACATCAAGGGAAGATGTCCGGGGGTTCGTTTTAGACTTTCGGATTGCGGCAAATCGTTGATTGAGGTAGTCGCCACTGCCGCGATTTCGTTGACATCACTGCAAATTCGGCCGAAGAGGGTTCCTGTGTTGCTGCAGCGGGCCGATTTAAAAGACTCTTCCGGCCGTGATCGTTCGCAGATGCCGCGAGAATGAGGAAGAAAGTATATAGTCCTGTATACAGGACGTTAACCCCCGTTACATTGCTTGAATAAAACCCATACCAACCCAGATGAGTGGGTCGATGCAAGCACAGCTTTCTGCCTCCCATCAGCCTCCATGACGCCACTCAATCATTGGGGCATCACCCTCGTTGTTGTCCCCATTGTGGCATGTGCTGTGACAACCCTCTTCTTCATTCTCCGGTTGTATTCTCGGCGACTTGCCCGTCAGAAACTTGATCTCGGTGATATGTTGATGGGCATAGGGCTTGTCTTCTCATACGGGCTAACACTCTGTACTGTGATATGTTAGTTACATCATAACCCCAGTTCCATTGTACATTAGCTTACATGTTATCTAGCGGCATTCAACGGCGTTGATCACGATTTCTGGTCCCTCTCCAGGCCTACCAGAGGAACAGTCACTTTGGTGAGTATACCCACTCCCCGCTTTAGGGCCAAGTTCTAACCAAATGGGCTAGCTCTTCTGGTGCTCAACAAAATTCTGGGTATTAGGCCACGTCTTCGTGAAAATTTCCTACCTCGTTCTGCTCCGCAAGCTTTTCGGAGCCATCACATATTGGCGGAAGCTTACTACTGCATTGATGGTGTTCACGCTTGCCTGGGGCATTGCTTGCCTGCTTGTCAGCATCTTCCAATGCTGGCCTGTGCGTTATTTCTGGATCAAACATATTGATGGCAGCTGCATGCGTGGGCGAAATACCTTCTACATTATAACTGGGTCGTTTGCGCTGGCCGAGAATTTCGTATTGGTCTTGGTGCCCATGATCGTGGTTTGGGGGATGAAACTGACACTCCGACAGAAGGTGGAACTAAGTCTTCTTTTTGGATTTGGTGGATTGTATGTTTCCTGCTATGCAAATTGTTTGTATTGTTTGACTGTATGATGCTGACAGTGACAAAAGGGTCTGTGCCGTCGGGTTTCTGCGTATGATCACGTTCAAGAGATACCTGACGACAGATGCTACCAGTATGCAACCCATCTACCCTCATGGTCAAACGATGAAAATTGCTAATGCCGCCCAGAAAACGGATACCTCCAGTCCATCTGGTCCATTGTCGAACTTGATTTGGGAATCATATGTACTTCGGTGATCTTGATGCGCCCGATCTTCCACCGCGTCACAAAGACATTCAAAATCAAATGTTGCGCCATGCGTGGCCAAACATCTAATTCCAGCGACTCTTCAAAACGCGCGCAGATGATGAGGTCGCTGTCATGGCCGAGGCCGTTGTCCTTTGCAGGAACGGGATCAGTGGATGAGTGGTCGCAGGTGCGAGCTTCCGCATACAGTACGCGTGTACGTGGTAGTGTGGATGAAACTCCGGGCTTAGCTGGGAATCGGGACATAATGGTTGAAGTGTCGATTGATCGCAAGATAAGAGCGAAGGAGGAGATGGTATAGCACATAATGTCAGCTGATCCCTGGCAGACTCCATGCAGTCATTACCTTCTCAGTCAATAGTAGTTCATTCTACATAGTACTCTATTCATTCTACTACATTTCTTAAGGGGAACCAAAGGGGTAGGAGTCCGCCCTACACCCTGTTCCAAGATGAGACTGACTTGGGGAAGTGAGGGATCGGTTGGTATATAGTATGACTGGCAGTGCAGAAAAAAAAGATATCCGGTTGATTGAGAAGTTGTGTTACCACTCCTCATCCAACCCTGCGGTTACGTGCATTTTCTTCCGTGGACAACCACCACATCAGCTCCACACCATCCGAGGTTACAGCACATGTCGCATTTGTGTACCTTGATCCCTAACGTATATCTTTTTCCATCTAGGAATACGCCGAGTACGATACCTGCCTTTTCAAGATGCTGCATCTCATAGGCCACCGCGACCCCAACCAGCGTATTGCGGATAGACAAGATGCTCGTATGATTTCGGATTCATTTCTCCGGCAAGGGTTATCAGACCTGCTGCACATAATCCCCATTTGGTCCACCCTGACTGGCTCATCAATTCGAGTGGTCGGCCCTAGTGATCGGCACCCCGCGCTCCCCATCCTCGGTCCGCGTTCCGTTCAAGATAGTCGCATATGGACTCGGTACGACGTGTGCAAGTATGGAGAATGTATACCAAAGGCATTGAGCTGGTGACCATAGGAAGTAGTGTATGAGATAATGATAGTACACACAGACGTGACTTCTGTCTTCGTGCGGTTGTAGTATATAATGGGCACCACAGACCGACGGACCTTCTTCATGGAGCATCTCAACTTCATCATAGATTTTACTAATTCAACCATCCCACAATTTTGAATCCATCATCCAGTCTCCCCCACAAGAGATCGTCAGCATCATGCCCCATACAACCGCCGTTTCCCTTACCAGTCTCACACCTTCAATCCATCAACTACCAGTCTCGCTTCCCATCACCCTCACACTCG